TAGGGAAAAAAAAAACAGTATACATGGCTTGACCATCACCTGTTTCTTAACAGATGTGAGAAATCTATTCAAGATAAAGCAATTCAATTTAGGAAGCTTGTGTTGCTTTTATGTTTTTTTTTTTTTTTGGATATTTAGGTCAATTAAGGCAAACTCACACACACATCACATAAATAAGACTCGAATCAAAAACTTTTTTGTTGATAGCTAAAACTCCTAACCAACATTAAAATGAGTTGCATATATATATATATATATATATATATATATATATAATTTAAATATAAATTTTTTTTAGTTAATATTCAAAAGTCAAAACCCTCAATAGCTAAAATTGAGTCAATGGATTTAAATATTTGAACTGTTTTGTATGAGGCAGTTTTTTCACTTATTTGTAACCTCTTTTATTTTTAATATACGGGTCAAGACCAATTTTTTCCAAACAAAAAATAATTGAACTGTGCAGACGAATGAAATTCGCATAAGATGGGGAAAGCATTCGAGGCGAAGCGAGGAAAAGGTCTTTTGCAGACAAAAGGAAGCGTTATATTCCAAAAAAAAAAGGAAGCGTCCACTACTGTCATATATTTATTTGACAGATTCTTCTTCGAGCACCGCGCGTCTTATACAGCATGGATGCCATGTCATGTCATGTCATGCCTGCACTGATGTAAAATTCCTTAAAAATAATACCATTTTGTGTTTTTATTTATTTATTATTTCCATCCAATTAAACTTACATACATCTTACGTATAAATCCTCCAATTCAAAGATCTCTGCTTCGATGGACTTTATTATTCTGCATAATTTGATGATAATATTAATTCCCAAAAAAAATGATGATAATATTATATTTATTCAAATGAACAATTGATTTTATACAACTAATAATGATGCAGTTGAAAAGAGTTATGATTATTATTTTTTAAAAAGTATCTAAAAATTTATATTGAATGAAATTATTCTAAATAAATTATCTTTCGGATTCGTAGGCTGTATGTTGCCTATAAATTCTTAAAAATTAAATAAATTATATTCTTCCATGTTGCCTACAAATGGAAGCATATTGATGTCAATAGATAGTGGGTGATGGCAATAGTATATAACGTTGTGGGTATTGATTGATAATATTCTCAACTGATGTCACATTAATGTCCTCCAATGGCGGACATTAGTGATAGTTTACATAGCTCTAAAATTCTATGAGTGATAGATTTCTCTAATCTGAAATTCTTTTTGAGTGCTAATAAATAAATTATATTTATAGGTTTCTAAGGGGTGTTCTAATAATTTATGTCATAATCATGGACACGTCACAAAGACAATCTAGGGAGATTTCTATTTATTAGGGGTGTCAAAATGTATTTTCTGGTCGGGTTAGGGTCCAACCCGAAAATGACCAAACATTATTTGACCCGACTCAGGCCTGACCCAATTCTAAAAATGGGTCAAAAATCTGAACTTGAACCTGACCGGCCCAAAACCTAGGTTGTCCCGACCCAACACGCTAACCCGGGTGCAGAGAAAGCAAGTGAGGGCGGGTTGTGGGCTACAAAGTGGAGCGCGAGTGTGAGGTTGACACGGGGGACTGGGGGGAGGCAAGTTGCATGTGCAGGATTGTAGGATGTGGTGCAGGTTGGGCTTGGTTGTAGGATCCAAGTCATTTCCAGGTCGTATTCAGGTTTTTGGGTAAACTTGAACTTCACCTTATTTTAAAAACAGGTCAAGATATTGAACCCGAATCCATAATTTTTTTTGGGTCGGGACCTCATTGGATTTTGAGTTGGGCCAAATATTGATGTTATCTTTGATGTTTGTGAACATCGCAGAGCATATTTTAATGATGACATAAAAACATAAGTGATAGTTTACTTGACTCTAAAATATTATAACCACCTTCTTTATCTTTTTCATTTCTCTTATTTCTAATCTTAGAACTCTCAAACACAAATTGCATCCTTGAGAGGTAAATCTTACACTTTACGCCTTTTTTTTATTTTATATAGAAATTTATCTCATAATTTTTGTTTGAATTAAATGTTACACAAGATTAATTACATATTCTAATATAAACCCATGCATGAGGGAGAAAGAGAATTCCTTCATGCCGACCGGGTTTGCCAACTCTCAAATCCTTGGCAAATATCTTAGAACACAAAAAATACATTGTTTAATTGAATCCCCATTTAAGACTAAACAATCTATTACACTTTAAAAAAGACGGTCTTGATTCATAAAAATTATTTTTTTTTTAAGGCTTCATTTGGGATAGCTAAGTAGCTTTTTAGTACACAAATTATTTGAATTAGAAATTTTCGTACTAAAATTCTGCATTAGAAAAA